TACACCTCCTGATGACACAACTGCATGCAGAAGTTGTAGCAGCCTTCAAACCCTTACTGAATATGTGGCAGGCTTATCTACTTTCCCCTTCTCTCTCTCTCTCTTTTGATGTTCAAACTTATTCAGTAAGGAGTTTTGGAGAGAGCTACACTTGCCTTTTATAGGTAGGCATGCTCAATAGGATCAACCAGAACAGAATCCCTTTGCTTCCTAGCTCAAGCTTCATTGCATTATTACATATTACTGCAACCTGATACCAAAAGGCTGCATTTCTCCAGCCCTCCATCACTATCCAGAGCTAATGCTGCTAAACAAATGTCTAGTTAGACATAGGAAAAGTAGAAGGGAAGTTGGATAGGCTTTAAAAGACTTTGTAAAAACAACAGCAGAACTATTTTGTCAGAGGTGTTGTTAAATGAGGTATGCCTGCATGGCTTCTCAGAGATTGGGACAAACCAGACTTTAAAAACACTTTGTTATATAACTTGTTACAAGCCCCTTCCAAATTAATGCATCAATATTGACTCCCCTTCAATATTGTAGTAATTTAGTAACCATTATACCACTCTACTTTTACATTATTTTTTGGTATGGTTTGAAAAAATTCCATTAAAAAAGAGAAATGACCTAAAACTTAAAAGAATCCACTCATAATTTCCCCTTAAAAATAAAGAGAAAAACTAGTGAGTAAACATTAATCCGAACTCATAAGAGTAACACAATTACCACTTGCTATGTTAATTTGCAAGAAGAATGTGGCTATTCCCTTATTACTCCAAGAGGAATGTATTACTTGTAACAATTTATTTCTAAGCTCTGAGTAAATGGATGTATTTTTCTTTAAAAAAAATTAATTAGTGCTGTGTTAAAACTTTGCTACTTCAGATCTAGAGTTGGTGCATATTTAAAGGTTCTCTTGTGTCAAATGCTCTATGCTAAAAAAGCCAGCACATCAGGGAGAAATTTACTAGTCTAATAGATCTCTTTCTTTTTTCTTTTTCTTTTTTTATTTTCTAAATTGAAGAAGGATAGTCTGTAAAAGGGTGTCCCTTATATAAAATGCCAACACCAAAGTTTAATTTTTGTGAAAAAAATGGGAATATTTTTCATCCACAGATGGCTGAATCTGTGGATGCAGAATCTGTGGATACAGAGAGTCGACACTATTCAGAAATGCAATCCCCTTTGCAATCTGAAATTGTACTTTCTGAAAAGGACTCTATCTACTCTTGCTGTATTACCTGCAGTGTAGCTGAATTGTTTCATTTCCTTATCCAACAAGTCTTCTCCACCTCTCTCTATCTGCTATCATTAGGGCTCAGTTCCAGTCAGTATTCACTTGCTTTGAATACGAGGTGGCAGGTCTCAAGATAAGGGTTCTAATCAAAACCTGTTTCTTTGAGCATGAGTAGTCAGATCTGACACCTTCCTTTGTGAATGTAGCTGCAGTCCTCTAACTAGTTGGACTCAATATTATAAACTGTGGGGAGCATCTGCCAATGATGTCTGGGAGCTCAATGAAGGGCGGGTTGGAAATCAGCAAGGGCAGTCTATATGACAGCATTTTTCCATATGGTGGTTAATCGTTCAGCCACTGTAATTGTGAATGCATACCCTCCGACTGTCCTAATCTAACAAGGACAGTCCTGATTAATCCTCAAATGTCCTACTTTTTCATCTGCTTTTAAAATGTCCCATATTCTCTCCTCCCTGTGTCCTCCTTCATCCTTGGTTTACTTCAATTGCTGAAAATGGAGTTCCAAGTAGTCAACATAGTTCTTCCATTCCCAGTTGGCTCAGGCAAAAACAAATTGCTGCAGCCACTCCTTGCTTGTGTGTTTTCCCTTATTAATAACCTTTGCACTCTTGATCACTTTCTGATGTTGCTTGGCCATGTGCCCACCCCCCTCAGCTGCTTTAAAAATGTCTCAGTTTTTCCTACTAGTTTACCCCCTTCATCTTTGGTTGATTTCAAAGAGCTCCAAGTACAAAAGTAGTTTGCAGTCAATTACTTCAGCAGAATCTTTTCATTCCCAGTTGGCTCAGGCAAAAGCAAACTGCTGCAGCCTCTCGTAGCTTGTGTGTTTTTCCTTGTTAATAACTTTGGTCCTATGAATCACTCTCTGATGTTGCTTGACCACACATGTCTCTGTTTTCAACTTTGTTAGAAATGTTGGAGGATACTTGAATGGAACTGGCACTCAATAAGTTGATGAAATGGAACATCCTGGTCATAAGGTTTTATGGGTTTCATTGACAGAATGCCGATATACATGGTGTAGGTGGTGTGAACTTGTACCACCATCCCAAGCACCTAGGAGTAGATGGCAGTGTTATGAGACGAGTCGCTGTGGCCAGATCTGGTCCCTCTCTGTGTGAATGTAGCTGTGGTCTTCCCATCAATGATCTATACCCTGTCACTAACAGTTAGTCCTTCTGCAGTTAACATTCTTCATAGGAAGGTCGCAGTAGCAAAAAATAGTAATGAGGACCCCAGATGCTGCCGTGGGAGCTCTGAGCAATTTGGCACTTGGCCTTTTATACCACAGATACTCTCGTGTAGCTTATTTTTGAGGTATGCATCTAAGAATTTTTAAATCAGTACAAAAATAAGGACAGAGACAACAAAGCCACATTTGCAAATCATGTATTTATGTCTTCTGGGACCCCAGAATTTGGCAGCACTTTCCTACTAAACACACACATAGTAGCAAAAACATTATCCTCTCTAATGTATAAGTGTGCTTCAGACTGATTACAATTATGCTTCTACAAACAGAAACTCATGGAAATGAAAAAAAAAACACATAAACATATCAGATTTCAGACTTAGGCTGCACCTGCACTGCAGAAACAATAGTTTGACACTGCTTTAACTGCCATGGCTCCATCCTATGAAATTCTGGGATTTGTAGTTTGTAGTGGCACCAGAGCAGTCTGGTGGAGAAGGCTAAATATCTTTAAAAGGTAAAGGTATTCCCCATTGACATGGTTGTCAAGTTGTGTCTGACCGTAGGGGGCGGTGCTCATCTCCATTACTAAGCCGAAGAGCCAGCATTGTCAGAGACTACTCTGTGATCATGGGGCCACTTGTAAGAAGGTAAACAGCATTCTGTGCAATCATGATGGCCCCATGATCACAGAGTGGTCTCTGACAACGCTGGTTTTTCTGCTTAGTAACGGAGACGAGCACTGTGCCCTACGATCAGACACGACTTGACAACCTTATCAACAGGGAATACCTTTATCTTTTAAAGATATTTAGCCTTCTCCACCAGACTACTCTGGTGCCACTACAAACTACAAATCCCAGAATTCCATAGCACTGAGCCATGGCAATTAAAACCATGTCAAACTGCATTATTTCTGCAGAGCAGATGTAGCCTTAGCCTCTGCTTCACTGGAATCTAGAGAAGCTATGGAGAGCAGCCACCATCAGTGGCTACTAGTCATGAAGGCTATATATATTGTGTGTATGTGTGTGTATATATATATATATATATCTATATATCTATATATCTATATCTATATCTATATCTATATATATATATATATATATTGTGTGTGTGTGTGTGTATATACATACACATACACAGTAGCCCTTTCCAATTCTCAGAGGATCTGTTCCGGATTCCCTTCCCATGAAGATGGTGGCTTGCAAATATTTGGTTTCTGCACCCAGGGTGTGTGTGGGATGCGCGCACTGCCACTGTATCCTTTCCCACTTGTCCGTCCTACAAAGAGCAGGATTGTGGACCTGAAGTCCGTGAATGGGAAGGGACAACTGTGTGTGTATAATGCTTCCAGGCTATCTGTTGTGGGGGACCAGCAATTAATTTATTTTCCCAGTGTACCAAGAACCAACCAATATTTCACAGATGATAACCAGGACACGTGTGGCCAAGCAACATCCAAGTGTGGTCAAGATGGCAAAAGTTAATGAGGAAGAACATACAAGCTAAGATAAGCTGCAGCAGTTTCCTGTTGCCCGAGCCTACTGAGAAAGGCAAGATTTTGGCCCCTCCTCTCCTCTTTCTGCTGCTGAGTTAGCTGAGTGCAAACTACTTTTGCACTTCAAAATCAGTTTGCAGCAATGGAATTAAACTAAGTATATGTGGTGTAGTGGTTCGAGCATTGGACTATGATTGGCTGCCAGGGTTCAATTCCCTGCTTGAGCATAAAAACCTGCCAAGAAAACCTTATGATGGGATCACTTTAGGGTTTTTATAAATCAGGAATGACTTGGAGGGCAACAACAACAAAGCAAAGAAAGAAACTGGGTCTTTTTAAAAAAGTAGCTGAAAATGTGGGATGACTGAAGATTAATCAGAATGTTCCTTCCAAATAGGGACAGTTGGAAGGTGTGCCAGTGCTATATTTTTTACCCATTGGCTATAAGTGTTTCTTCTTTCCTGGAAACTCACCAAAGACTGGCAGCCAATGGTTCAGGGACTGGCATTGGTACAGAGAACGCCACTTTGAATAGTACTGATATCTATAGCAGGAGGATGCTGTTATGATGAATGAGCACAATAGTTGGCCACTGTGGACATGGAATGCAGATTAGATTGAACTGATCCTGCACTGCTTTTCTTGTACTCTTAAACAACCCTGACTCTTGCTTTGATCACAACTGTGCAGTTTTGATTTTGCTTTTTTTATTCTCTATCGCATTGAATTGCTCTTTTTTATTTTCAGTTTAAATAAATTAAAAATATGATTCACACTGAAGCTGGATACATGTTTACCAAGAAGTAGGACCCACTGAATTCAGTGGAGCTTACAGAAGAACTATTGAATGTAACATTGCAACTTAAATATTGCAATCTCAAATCCTTCGAGGACATTGGGTTTGTCTGCAAAAGCAATATCTCCAAAGCAGACAGAGAAAACAGCACATAAATATGTGTCGCAGTGGTGGATACATGAGTACTGCATTAGTTCAATTAATTTAATTAATTAGTGTAATTGCATTGCTTTTTGTGAATGCAAACCGCCATGTAAATTCAGTTGTTATTGTTGTGCTTAATTGGTCTAAGTGTTAGCATCAATTAAACAGACCTGGAAGAAATTTGTTTGATCCACAAACTTTATTATGCAAAATAAACAGCATTTAGTGGCAATAGAACCTTATAGGACATTTCATTATATGGTGGATTGGGTGGGGGCTGTTTCTGGCAAGGGTGTAAAAATTGTGCACCCTATGTTGACAGAAATCAAGAATAAAATTGCTGCTGCCACCATACGTAAAGTAAGAGATTGCCGCCACTGCAGCAACAAATTTTCCATCACTATTCATTTTTATTGTATGCAGCCCTGCATACAATAGGATGAAGGGTAGTACGTAAATGTTTTAACAGAAGAATGAAGAAAACATAAAGGAGTTTATGATAAAAATAAAATAGACAAAGAATTTTGTGACCACTATATACTCCTTACAAGGTCCTACTAAAATGGAATACAGAACAAGAAATAATCAAAGGAGGTATGATGACCTGGGCTAGGAATATAGGCCATCCTATTAATCTAGAACATTGGAAGAAGTCTTGGAAAGGAAATATAAAATTTACGTTCAGTTATAATGTGAGAGAAAACTATTATAAATGGTGTTTAGATGGCATCATACCCCGGAAAAAATACCTAAAATGTATAAAAACATGAATCCAAATATATTGGAAACGTGAAGAAGCCATTGACAGTTGTGGTCATGTCCTAAGGCAAAAGTTTTCTGGCAATCTATCTATAATGTCATCCAGGAAATTTTGAATATAAAGATACCATTAAACCCAGAGATGTTTTTGTTAAATATGTTGCATATGCTTGAGAAGAAATTAGAAAAGAAGTATTCAAAGATTTTATTATATATGGTTACTGCTGCAAGGGTAGCATATGCCCATAAATGGAAAAACCAAGAAAATACCCAAAGTAGAAGATTGGTTGATGAAATTATACAATATGTTGAGCTTGGACAAACAAATGGATATGATTAAAAAAAGTAAAATATGTAATCTTGAAGAAGGATGGATAGAAGTAATAAAAGAATTTTGAAAAGAAAACGGGGGAAAATCGGCAACTATATTTTTTGAAAATTAATAGCCTTTATAGGAAGAAATAAGATAGAAATGAGAAGTTATATGAATAACTTGTTTGGAAATTAAGTATATGAGAAAAGAAATAGAGATTATTATAATACAATAAAAAGAAAGATAAGTTATGATGATGAAATACCAGTAAGACAAGAAAAGGAAGGCATCTAGGTATCGTAATGTTACTTTTATGGAATGTGTCTGTGAGATGTAATATGTTTGCTTTAAATGTTGTATGTGTCTTTGTTAGATGTTGTCCATATGTATGTGATGCTAAAAGATAAATAAATATCATATTTAAAAAAGAATAAAACTGCTGCCACCACCATACATAGAGTAAGAGATTGCTGCCACTGCAGTGACAGTTTTCCCACCACTATTCATTTTTATTGTATGCAACCTTGCACACAATAGGATAAAGGGCAGTATGTAAATGTTTTAACAGAAGGATGAAGAAAACATACAGGAGTTTATCACACTGGCCTGCTCTCCCAAAACAATCACACTAGTTTAAGAATGCAAGCATACCAGTTTGGCATCATTTCTTATCACATTTGGCTATCTATGATCATGTGATCTGTTTTCTGCACTGCTAGACACCACTTCTCTTGTGGAAAGGGGAATGAGTGATCCTGGCTGCCAACCACCCCCCAAAATTGGTTGCTGTGTGAATGTGCACACAGCAGCTGGCATCAGGAAGGTGTTGGTGATGGGAGCACTGCAACGTGGGAGAGGGGAGAGGAGCAGAATCACACCCATTTACTCCATTTGACTACATGAGATGTGAAACTGCAGCAGAAGGAAGCTATCACATGAAGGCAGTAATGGAATAGCAGTGAGATTGAGAGCCTATTGATAGGGTTTGCCCATCAATGAAAAGGTGCATACAGTCACAAATGGAATGGAAGGCAGCAGAAGGAGGTTCAGGTTCACAACTGTGTGATAAATACTGGCCAAAGATGCTTTTATCCTGCAAAAATTTTACTTTAGAATCTTGTGTGATAAAGTCCTCAGTGTCCACAATGATTGCCTTGCAAAGGCATGACTGTTTGAGATCATTGGCTTTGAACACAAATGAGAGCCAAATCCTGTGGACACCCAGAACAATATCCAGAAGATGTCTCTTACAAGTATAATCCCAGTGTGCCCTTTACTATCAGATAAAATCTCTCTATTATCACCTGAGCTCAGTCCCTCATGGAGATTTAATTTTATTTTTTTTAAAATGTATGAGTTGCCCTGTGGCCCTTGAAGAGCAGTTACAATAAGACTGGCTATTCATTTCTGTGAAATGTGAAAAGGTAACATGTGAAGGCCCTAAGAGATGGAGTTGCATAGGCAATTTGTTCACTGTCAGGAGTTGCATAGGCAATTTGCCTGCCATAAAATTGGGAATTAGGTGTGATGGGTTATACAGTAGAAATTGTGTTGATAAGTTGTGGTGATTTCTGTCACAGGTGCTAAGATAATACTGTAAGGGAGGCAAGCATGAGCCAAGCCCATTCAAGATCATTTTTGTGAAAGAATCTGATTGTAACAACAAAGAAGGAGGCAGTATGGGAAAGAAAGGAGAAGTGTGTTTATTAATTATAATCAATAAGAATTAAGCCTGTCTGAACTCTGAAATTGTGTGTAATTTTATTAGGCAATTTTAACACTTGTTGGTCAGTTCTGAAAATGAACATTACTAGATTGGATCTATCTCAATAAAGGTTTTCTGAGTTTTAACTACTGATGTCTGGATTTCTGAACTAGGTATCCTGCTCACAGGATATTTCCTAGGATAGTTTGTGTGAGTATATTGGACTGGGAATCTTCCATAGTTTGTTGTGTAGACTGGGCCATCTTCTTTTCCTGATTTTCCTACCTGTCACTAATTGGGTCTACAGCAGGGGTAGGCAACCTTTCCCCTTTAAGGGCTGAGGGACTTCAGCTCCCAGAAGCCTCAGCCATGTTGGCCAATAGTCCCATGTTGGCCAATAGTCCCATGTTGGCCAATAGCTCCTGGGATTCTGGGAGCTGAAGTCCCTCGGCTCTTAAAGGGGAAAGGTTGCCTACCCCTGGTCTACAGTATGCCTGTTATACCGCTGGTCCAATCAAAGAAAAGTCCAATTGGGGCGCTCCCAAACAGAGAGCTCCTACACTGCCAACATGAAAAGATATTGTGCACTGCAAGTAATTCATTTTTTTTCTGTTCTGAAAAGGTGTGTGCACATGCATGCGTGTGTATGTGGTATGAAACAGCAGTGAGAAAACATGGGAGGATTATACTGACATCATTTGGATCTCCTGCAAAATGTAAGGATAATAGTAGTGTGATTCCCTGAGAAAAATCACGGCACCCATACCCTTGGAAGCATCAGCTTGGATGCTGAGATCCTGGGGAAAGCTTCTTAAATAAATTTGATAGGGTTGCAAGAGCAAAAAGAAATCATTCCAAAGTTGGCCAAAGATGCTTTTGGGATGGGTTCTCTAACCCTTTCATTTCATTTGATGAAGGTCCAGAGGAGCTTTTGACAGTTTGATGAGAGAGCTGCAGGATCTGATCAGAAAGTCCACTTCTATGCACTTTTTTTTGATGTACCTCAATTTGGATTGTTCCAGGTATGGGGGTATGGATAGCTGAAAGGAGGGAAGGTATTTTAACTGTAGGGTACCATCAGGCTAAATCCAATGTTAGTTCCAATTAGGTTAGACCTGTTGAAATAAATGGAATTTACATAAATGGCAACTAAACAGTCACCATCATTTCTATAAGTCTATGCTATACTAAATTTAGCCCATAATCCAGACATGAACAAAGATTACGGTGATATCTTCTAGGTAATAATATGGTCAAAGTGAAGACTAGCTTAACAACAGTGTTTTATTTCTTCATTTGGTTGCTTAGCAAGGGAATTCCTGATAGTCAAACATTCTAATCCAAAAAGAGTCATTTTATTAGATAAGTGAACCAAACTCAAAACAATTTTGCTCAAAAAAATAAAAATGGTACCAATTATATCTTAACCCATCCCTCCAAACTTGTCGGAATTAATAGAGATTATTCCTAAAGCATACCTTCCATGTGTCAGATGCATATCTATGTTTTC